AGGTAAAACCATACCCATCTGACCGTCAATTTCCAATCGTTGCACGCATTCATGGCACCCGTTTTACTGCTAGTTAATTCAGTTTGTTTTCAGTTATAAGAAGGTTCACTGGAGACTTGTTGATGCTAATGTTTAGGTGTTTAGTGGAAATAAGGACAGAGACAGCGTTGTTTACCACAAGTTAAACCCGACAATCCAAGCTCGCTACATCAGACTCAGGCCAACAGCGTGGTCCGTTCATATTTCACTGAGGATGGAACTGTATGGTTGTCCAGGTATGATTGCAATCTGATTGCCCGAAACGTTTTCAGCTTAGTTAAACACCTGAAGATTACATCTGGCCGCACACGAGTCGATTTTTTGTCGTAGAACTGATGATTTTTTGTCGTAGAATTGCAGATTTTTTGTCAGGGTCAAATCGGGTTAACATTTGTTGGGCCATCAGCTTGTCGCGCACTAGCCGATTTTTTGCCGCGACTAACCGCGTTGAGGCTTGGGGCCGAGTCATCCAAATTCATGATGGCTCCTATTCCACTGACGCCGTGACTCTCATGACATTTCCTAATTGGTGGAGGCACGCGCGAGCCCCGACAAATTGTCATGGTCCACCGCACACCAGCCGACAAGGCACGACAAGACATTTTGAGATCTAGCACTGTCAGATATCGCCCGACAAGCTCTGATCTTGTCGCAGACTTGTCTTAATTCACCGCACACTAGCCGATAAGTTAAGGTTTTTTGTCGGCCGAAAAAAAATCGACTAGTGTGCGGCGGCCTTATGTTTGTTCAAAAGGCCTTTTTGATCACCTTTTGATCACTATCGTCTCATCGCAGTACTGCCAATCCTTTCTAAATCGCCAGAACGACACATATCTGCAACTTATCAAAAACACTTGTTAAAGTATAATCTGCTGTGTAAACATCAGTCTGCTTATCAACCTAATTATTCGTGCTAAACTACACCAATTAACGTAGCGGATCGTTGGCTCAAGGAAACGGACAATGGAAACTTTATTAGAACCATTTTGCTTGATTTAAGCAAGGCGTTTGACTTAGTCAATCACGACATTCTTCTATCCAAAATTATCAATGTACTTCCCTAGTGTGGTTTAAATCATATTTAAGCGAACGCTCGCAGCAGGGAAAACATCAATGCCGCTCCCTCTTGTAGTAGGAGTTCCACAGGGATCCATTTTAGGTCCATTATTTTTTCAATTTACATCAATGATTTGCCACTTTCTATGCAAAATTCTGAAACTGATATGTTTGCCGATGACACCGCTATCTAGTGAAGTCTAAATATTGCAAATTGTTGTTTCAGCCATAATGTGATGAAGCCCAAAAAAACTAAGCAAATGTTAATTGGAACTACTCAGAAGCTTCGTTGTGCAGATAAGACCTGCATATATTTATTTTTGAATGATGCCAAGCAAGAGGAGGTAATGGGAGAAAAGCCTCTCGGGATTGGGATCAACAAAAATCTCACTTGGAATTTGCATATTGATTATGTTATCAGGAAGCTTAACCGCAGGATTAATCCGCTGAAAAGGTCAAACATTTTTCTATCTTTGCACTATAGGAAATTATTGTGTAATTCCCTCATAAAACCAATTCTTGAATAATGTTGCACGGTATGGGGCAATTGTTCCAAGGAACAGAAAACTGCTAATGACATTAGAAAACTCCTCCTCCAAGGAACAGTTAAACAGATTGTTACGATTACAGAAACGCTGCGCCAGAATGATACTGGATGGAAACTTTCAGGACAATTCAGTAATGTTATTTTCTAAATTAGGATGGCTTCCAATTGACGATATCATTAAAGCAAGAAACCTATCACTTCTTCACAAAATCTGTAACGGCTGGGGCCCGAAATAACTTAAATTCCTCCTGTATATGCTAATTATGTCAAGAGTTGTCACGATTGCGACACGAGAACCGTGAGTCGAAAAAGAAACGACCTTATTACACCAAAGTGTGAGAAAAATTCAGGCCTAAGGACTTTTCATTCTAGTGCATCTCGTCTGTGGAACAGAATTGAACCATCTGTTAGAGATAGACTTTCACAGAAGCGCTTTTCCATGGAAATCCAACGAAAAATGACATTAGAAAACTCCGTGTTAATGAACATTTTAATATTAATTAACTACACGTATCGAGTAATTTATTAGTGATTATTTTAGGTTTACACTCTGGTTTTAGATTATCTTAGGGAAGGCCATTATGTTAACTACTGAGTCACTAGTAATCAATGTTACCCTCGGAAAATAAAGTGTTATTTTTATCATATTATCGGCATACGTATTATTAACATAAAGAAGGAACTGAAGTTGGGTCATGATCAAACTGAGTTTTATGTTTCAAAGAGCTGGGGTTTGAGTTTAGTGTTGTGTTGTGTCTGAAAATCCCCTTGGTTACAGACAAGTAAAGTGCCTGGCAAAGCTCGCAAAAGAAGATGCCAAGTTTAGCAATTCTTAACTAAAACCACAAGCATTAGAGCTAGGCTAGCGAAATCAAAGGAAAACATATCTTTTCATAGCCGTCTTGTAATCTAGAGAGGCGTTGTCTTTCTTTAACTGCTAAATCTAAGAGCTTAGTGTTCTCGATGAAGGCTTTTATAATCGGAAAAATTTTAGTGTCTGCATGAGATTTAAAGGACTTATTTCGGTGTTGGCTTCTTTTTTTATTTATGGTTTCCATATCTTTTGTTTTGTGCATCGCAGTGCCATGTACAGCATCTCTAGGCATGGAAAACCGTCTCATCAAAGATGCTCAAATCACCGCCTCTTCAGAGAGGGATTCAAATCACGCTGCAATCCAAGCAAGGTTGAACTTTAAGGCAGGTGGAGGCAAACAAGGGGCATGGTCAGCTGGCTCTAATGACGCCAATCAATGGATTCAGGTAGCTCTTGGTAGTTACAGCAAATTAACAGTTATAGCTACACAAGGAAGAAATGGA